TTGTCTACTAGTTTTCGAAAATCTAAATCGGGTTCTCAAATTGACGAAGGATGGGATGCTCTCTTTTTTATTGCTATTTTTCTTAATTGTGGTGTTAAGGTCATCATTAAGATTTCTGTCATCTTTGTGTTTTAATAGTCATGTGTATTTAATGAATATGCTTTTCGAACTAGTGTTTCGATTCGTACTGCTAATTGCTCGATGGTTTCGTTTGGTAATCTGCGAATTTCATTACATAAAACTCTTTGTTGTTGTTTGTTTCTTTCGGAGTCAAACATTTTTGAAAATTCTTGTGTAAACCTTTTCCAATTTGATTTTATTTCTATAGGCAATACTGAAAACCATTTTTGGGCTGCGCCATCTAGAGTTGTTTGTATTAACGCTGTGCGTCGATGTATCCAGTTTTGATGTAGTGGCGTATTAATTGGTTCAGGTCCTATATTTAAAATCAAATTTGCTGTGACTGCATTTAAATAGTCTTCTACAGAATATTCAGGGTCTGTTCCTGTGAATAACATTAAAGGTTTATTTGATGTTATTGATGATCCACCCATAAGGTATGGATTCATCGTCATTTGTAATGATTCTGCTGCATTTGGCATTTGAGAAAAATTTGAAAGTTGATTTCTTGTTATTTCGTGTTGTTGAAGATAATATGGGAGTGGTATTTCATTTTGCATTTGTGCTGGTTGGTACGAGTTTGCAATCATTGGGTTTTGTTGCTGAATTGGTTGAAAAGATTGTGTATTAATTGGGTTTTGTTGTTGAATTGGTTGTTGGTTTTGTGTATCTATTGGTTGTGGAGAAAAAATTCTATTATATGTATGTGGTTTCTGTATTCCTTGTCCACGATATTCTTGATTATAGGGTGTAAATATATCTGGTTGTAAGAAATCATCATCTGAGGATAAGTAATCCATTTGATAAGATGTTTGTTTTTTATTTTTATATTGTTGAAAAAATGGATAGTTTTCACTACGATCCTGTGGAGGATGTAAATTTGTTTGGAAATTTACTGAATTAGGTGGTGCCATTGGGTTATCCCAGTTTCGAGATCTTGTATAATTACTAAAATTTTTTCGTGGTTGATAATTTGTTTTTGATGGATGTGTGTAATTATAATTATGGTCTGCAAAGTTGTTTCTAGTGAACGTTTTGCGTGTTTTTGGCCGTATTGTCATGGGTCTGTATGTTTGGTAATCCATGTGTGAATTTTTTGGGGCAACCGAAGGTTTAACGGTTGATTGTAATGTTACCTGTGTTTGTGAAGGATTTGTATTTCTTGGTGTTGTTAAGTTTGGACGTATTGGTGAAATACTTTGTTGTGTAGTTGTTGTGTGTACGATTTCTTCATTTATGAAGTGTGATGGTGTCTGGATATCTTGTTGAGTAAGATTCCTAGTTCCATTGAGGTTTTCATTGTGTATGACTGTAGAGTTTAAACTGTTATTTTGCATATCGGGTAAAAATGTATTATAGTTTAATGGTGTTGCATCAATTGTTAATGGTATTACTCGTACATAATCTCTTACATAAGATATCGTACTTATTGCTTGACTTGAGATTGATTGTGGGAAGTTTATGGATGCGGGATGAGACCATTCGGGGTCCCAAACATAGTCTGATTGTTCTGTAATGGCAGTATCATCGTTTGAGTTTTGGGGTCTAAAATTTTTTCTTGCTTGTGAAATTAAATCAATATTATGTGTGAAATAATCTATTATGAACCATGCCAAGATTTTTTGTAAGTCGTGTTTTGTATGTTGTGAAACTTCATCTTTCGTGAAATTTTCTTTAATTATATTTAGAAAACTAGAGAGTAGTGTGATTTCATGTCGTACTCTTATATGTTTAGATGTTTCTGTCGGTGAGACATTTGGTATCTGGATTTCGTTTTCTAATATCGAGATATAACTATATATTATCGCAAAAACTTCATTGGTGAATATGGAGTTTGCTCTTTGTGAGTTATGATATTGGATGCTTTTTATATATTCTGAGAATACTTTTGAGAATTCTAAATCAAGGTCGTCTGTTTGAATTATATATTTACTGTGATTCTGGTTTGGTGAGCTGAATTCTATGGAGTAGATTCCGTATTGTTGTGTTAGGTTACATATATCTTTTAGATAGTGATCGATAATTTGTCTTTTGATTTTTACATCTGGGAACTCTGTTTTACATGGACTGATTCCGGGTTCAAACAAATTTAAGAGAAAATTTTTGCAGAATATATGCTGTCCTCTATCAGTGGTTGCATCTACGATAAAGGGGAAAATATCATCATCATCTGGACTTTCTTCACCTGGGGTGTGCGTTGAGCTCATTTTTTCGTTCGATGACTGTTAATATGTAATTATCAATGTGTCTAATTGGTTGATTCCAATTGTATAAATGTACTGGTTTGTGTTTATACTGCTTTTTTATTCTTCTTTTTCCTCTTTTTGATGAATTTGAAGTTGTTTCTGAGTCAGAGAAATATAATTGATCGTGAATTGGGCAATTTTTATCTATTGATTCTTTTAGTTTATAAAGTTCGTCTAAACTGTTGGTTTCTGATTCTGAAAATGCGTTTCGATTTTTTGAAAATCTTTTTCGTGTTATTTGTCTTTGTTTAGTTATTATTTTTCTCTTGAATGTTTGTCGTTTTGTTCTAATGTATCTAACTGTTTGTGTATGAGGTGTGATTACAAGGTCGTATTTTTTATTATCTATTTCACAATTGTGTAAAACGATTGTTTGTTTATTTCCTAGGTTTTTAAATGACATAAGGTTTAGGATGACGGATGCAAAAGGTTGTTAAATGATTTCTATTTGCTTAAACTGTTAGTCCTTACGATTTTTTTGTTAGCCTAACCTGGGTCTATTTGTTCAGGGTTGGGGAGAAAAGTATATCGATTCCGAAGAATGATTTTATACTTTCTCGTGGATAGTATAAGCTAAGGTGTTAACTTACTTAATCTTACTTAAGGGTAGTGATTGTGTTCAGGGTTGGAGAATAGTAAATCGATCCACAAGGTTCAGGTATAATTAGAACGCGAGTAGTTCGTTAGATACTATTTTAAACTTACTAAGTTTAAGATTTATCCTGGGTCTGGTAAGAGGGGGGATCAAGTGAAGGATGAATAACCGAAGTTCTTCACTGTTTATTCTAATTTGAATGATTAGTTTTGTTCAAAAATTTCTATTAGTCCTGGGTTTTTAGAAAGGGTTGGATAGTGAATCGACGTTTGAGGTCGTTAGACACTAGTTAAGTGGGTGGGGGAGAACAAAGTTGTTCTTTTTGATCCAAGGATAGGCCTTGATGATCAAGTTTTAAATTTAATTAAATAGAAAATGATTTAAGATCCAAGGATAAGCCTTGATGATCTGATTTTAAAATTAAGTGAATTTAAGTTTAAAATGTTTTAAATTTGTGTAAAGAATAGATTTAGTGTTTTTATGATATTAGTGAGCTTATGAATGCTGTTATGTTTAGGCGATGAAGCTGGAACAACATGATGATTTATAATTACTAACCGTTTATTGTCATGCTACTAATTTTTATTTTGATTTTTCAATAAATATTTTTCAAACATGTTTTGTATATTACTGCAGAATTTAGGAAAACGATCTGAGATTTTTTTATCAATCGTTATTGTATACTAATAATTTTGTTTAGCGCCTGAAATGATTTTGAAGATTGACTTCAAAATTTTATGTTTGCAAATGAAAATCTAAATTCATTGCTATTAGTATTCTAAATACAAAAGTTTGTTCTGGCTTTTGCCGAACTATCATATAACTATATGGTAAGTTTCTGCTTTGTCGTATGTCGTCTCTGGTTCGAGGTCTTCTTCCAATTCCGGGTAGTTCTGTTATCGTTCGGAATATTGGCTCTGATCTATTGATTCGTAGAGACATTTCGATTAAATTATTGTCGTATAACATTTTGTAAATGTTTTGTCTAAATTCTAATCTGTTATTGGTTAATTCTAAGCTATTAAGGTCTTGTTCGAGACTTATGGTCGCACCAGATGAGTTAGGACCGATGGGTATAACTCATAGAGTAATTTCGGATAGGGTACACCGTCTGCTCGTCACTCTATCTTATTTTCGGCCGGATAGGTTCGTGCAACTTCTTAGTCTAATACCGATCCTAATCTTACTCTTATACTGTCTAGTCTCAGGTTGTTTAACTAGTCTCTGCTAGGCTCAATAGATCTAGGGTATACTGGTTTATTGCGGCTGCTGAAGTACTCGGGAGAGTTCAACTAATTTCTAAGTTAAATTCAAATCTCTCTGGTGCTGAAATTACAAGTAATTTCAGCACTTACAAATAAGTGGATTGTTAGTTAGATGGATCATGATTGGTTAATATTAAATACTTTACATTGGTAAAATATCTAATTTATCCAATCATAAAATGTAGTTTAGATCAGGTTCCATTACGGCATTCATTTTTATCCATTAAGCAAATGTATAATAAATTTGATAGGGGCCTGCTTCAAATTTTTTTTGTTCTAATCCGTACAAAAGCTGCATTTTTGAATTTTTATCTCTGCGTTTTTGAAAATTGGCAGACATGGAACTTCTTAAAACTTAGATTATACTTGACGTAAAAGAGTAGCAGGAAAACTCAACAACTAAATTGGATAAAATCGAAAAAATCAACATCTTATTTGCCTCTAGTCAAATCTATTTTCGATTCTCCTGCTATTTTGAAAGGTACTTATATCAAATATAGCCTACACATTTTATTCCATAGTCCAATTTATATTCTGCTCTAGGCCCCAGAACTTTTTAACTTTTCAATCTAGGAGAAAAAATATAAAAGAAAAATGATAAACAAGAGAGATTGCTCATATGTTGAAATATAATGGAAAAAACAACATTTTTTTTACCGTGAACTCATTTGGAAATTGGAAGCGCTTGGCTTTTATTTAATGACAGCCAAAAAAATTGATAAACTTTTCTGTTAGTTTTCCATGACGTAATTAGTGCGTATTTTTATCAAACAGAAACCGGAACAGAAAATCAGCCTGGAAGCACTGGGGCATTTCTTCATCCAGTATACATCACAGGAACAAGACCGCGAATTTTACCGACAAGTGGTCAACATGATTGACCCGGAGAGAGATCTTGACGCGCCAAAGCGATTTGGTCAAAACGACTTGAAACCAGAGAACTCAGGAGAAAATAATTCAGAAGAAAAGTGAAAAGAATGAGTTATTCCTAATGGATATGAGTAATTTCTAATTGTTCGCGGACAATGGATTTAAACAAAAAACGATCCTATTTCAGTTATTTGAAGCTTAGACTAGCCTGCTTGAATCGTAGAGTGACGCTCTGAATGTCATGTTTAATTTGAGTGTCATGAAACTGTTGATCGTTTGAAATAGTTCAGCGTATTTAAAGCACGATTAAAATCAATTTTTTATAGAAAAATTTAGCATGCTTTTCGAAAGGTCTATTTCGAGATTTCTCGAGATTTCTTTAGAAAAGCATCTGAGACCAAATTAACATCCTCCCCCCCCCCCCCCCAAGCCCGGTTTAGAAGGAGGATGTTAACTTGGTTCTCAGTTCGAAACTTAGAGCATTTTACATGTGCGGTGCTACGCAATTTTTTTTTAATTTGTGCGCTGGACGTGAGAAGGGATCTTTGAGGGTAGGATGCTAATTTGATGATCCTACTGGGGACATTTCATGCCAATAACCTACGCAAAAATAATGAAAATCTGAACCTAGAATTTGATGCAAAAAAAACTAAAACGAAAAAAAGTACGATTGGGTAACTTCGCCATCAAAGATTTTGATTTTGCTGCAATACTGCGCAAGTATTAACCTTGGTTGTTTATATTATGTAAATATGTATAACATAATATATTTGAATCAAGGTCACCGTAGAACATATTTATTACGCAGCTGAAATATTCTAGCATGGACCTGGCTGTTATAAAAGACTAAGTCCATAGATCAGTTAGGCTCATTCTGATCAGTACATTGTTTTACACATCAGCGAGTTCCTCAGGCTTAAACATAGTTAGCAGGATTCTAAGCACAAGACAATCGCACGAAATTGGAGATAAAAATATTGTAGGTATCATCAAAATCAAATCCGCCTTGGCAGTTTAAGATCTGGTTGGAACAAATTTTGATGGCAGTAACAGTGAAAGATAACTTCAACACCGAATTGCATTTAGCGGACCCAAGGAAACTGCTGAGCGACCCACCGCCGATACCGAAGATCCCAAGGAAGGGCGAGCATGCTAGGGAAATAGAGGCCAGTGTACTGAGAGATAATGAGAGCTGACGTCCTTCAAGATAATGAAAAAAAGCTAGAGGCTGAAAAAAGGTCACAACACCTAAAACATCGAGGTGCAGAAAACAGTTAGCGCCTTGACAGTTTTTGACAACCTCGGATGTCGAGGTACAAAAAGTGAGTTTAAAGATATTTTGATGGTGGTCAGGTGCTCTTTCCAAAAAATAAAAAACGTAAATTACGAAAGGCAATAACAATTCACACGTAAAAAAGAAAAAAGTGAGACTCTTAAAGCATTTCTCGCAGCACTAAACGCAGAAGAAGCCAGTACAAACTCGTAGCCTTGGAAGATGAATAAGATTGGGATTTGTTTTAAATCAAGATTGCGGAATTCGACGCTTCAAGACACCCTTGCTTTGGAATACTCAAACCGGAAGAGGTGTTGAAAAAGGCCATCAAATTTGAACATAAGTAACAAAACGACATTATGTTCCAGAAAAAAAAAACGCAGCGGAGACTGCAAAGGCACGAACAAAATCTAGCTCAAGAATTAAAACCAAACAGGAAACAAAAAAAGCAGACATTACTCGATGGAGGAACCAGCATGCGTACAAAAGCTCTCAAACAAGAAAAAAGCTTTTAGAAAAATTCACAAATCAAAACTGCAAAAACTGCCATTTATTAGAGGTGGTCGATCCTTCTCAGATTGAAACTTGAAAGCTTGCCCAGCAAAAACTGCAAAAACTTATTTATATTGCAAAAATGTGCAGGTCGAAGCAAGTCAACGAGATAGAAGAAGATTTGATTCTAGTCTTGAAAATGATTCCCCCCCCCCACTAAACGCAGAAGAAGCCAGTACAAACTCGTAGCCTTGGAAGATGATTAAGATTGGGATTTGTTTTAAATCAAGATTGCGGAATTCGACGCTTCAAGACACCCTTGCTTTGGAATACTCAAACCGGAAGAGGTGTTGAAAAAGGCCATCAAATTTGAACATAAGTAACAAAACGACATTGTGTTCCAGAAAAAAAAAACGCAGCGGAGACTGCAAAGGCACGAACAAAATCTAGCTCAAGAATTAAAACCAAACAGGAAACAAAAAAAGCAGACATTACTCGATGGAGGAACCAGCATGCGTACAAAAGCTCTCAAACAAGAAAAAAGCTTTTAGAAAAATTCACAAATCAAAACAGCAAAAACTGCCATTTATTAGAGGTGGTCGATCCTTCTCAGATTGAAACTTGAAAGCTTGCCCAGCAAAAACTGCAAAAACTTATTTATATTGCAAAAATGTGCAGGTCGAAGCAAGTCAACGAGATAGAAGAAGATTTGATTCTAGTCTTGAAAATGATTCCCCCCCCACTAAACGCAGAAGAAGCTAGTACAAACTCGTAGCCTTGGAAGATGATTAAGATTGGGATTTGTTTTAAATCAAGGTTGCGGAATTCGACGCTTCAAGACACCCTTGCTTTGGAATACTCAAACCGGAAGAGGTGTTGAAAAAGGCCATCAAATTTGAACATAAGTAACAAAACGACATTGTGTTCCAGAAAAAAAAACGCAGCGGAGACTGCAAAGGCACGAAAAAAATCTAGCTCAAGAATTAAAACCAAACAGGAAACAAAAAAAGCAGATATTACTCGATGGAGGAACCAGCATGCGTACAAAAGCTCTCAAACAAGAAAAAAGCTTTTAGAAAATTCACAAATCAAAACAGCAAAAACTGCCATTTATTAGAGGTGGTCGATCCTTCTCAGATTGAAACTTGGAAGCTTGCCCAGCAAAAACTGCAAAAACTTATTTATATTGCAAAAATGTGCAGGTCGCAGCAAGTCAACGAGATAGAAGAAGATTTGATTCTAGTCTTGAAAATGAATATATGTCCTTTCAGTAGGGCTCTTTCTGATCAGTACTTTGTTTTACACATCAGCAAGTTCCTCAGGATTAAACATAGTTACCAGGATGCTAAGCACAAGATAATAGCTCCAAAAGAGGGATACAAATTTTGTGGGTATCATCAAAATCATATCCGCCTTGGCAGGGTAATATCCGGTTGGGCAGTAACAGTGAAAGAAAACTTCAACACCAAATTGCATTCAGCTGACCCAAGGAAACTGCTGAGCGACCAACGCCAAGACTGAAGATCCCAGTGTACTGAGAGATAACGTAATGAGAGTTGACGTCCTTCAAGATAATGAAAAAAAGCTAGAGGCTGAAAAACGGTCACAACATCTAAAACAACGAGGTGCAGAAAACAGTTAGCGCCTTGACAGTTTTTGACAACCTCAGATGGGGAAGTATCAAAAGGGAGTTTAAAGATAATTAGTTATTGGTCAAGTGCTCTTTCCAAAAAAAAACAAAAAAACGTAAATTACGAAAGGTAATAACAAATCACACGTGGAAAAGAACAATGTGAGACTCTTAAAGCATTTCTCGCAGCACTAAATGCAGAAGAAGCCTGAAGGAGTTGGTGGCCTTGGAAGATTAACTAGATTGGGATTTGTTTATATCAAGAATGCAGAATTCGACGCTTCAAGACATTATTACTTTGCAATACTCAAACCGGAAGAGGTGTAGAAAAAGGCCATCAAATTGGAACATAAGTAACAAAACGACACTTGTGTTCGAGAAAAAAACAGAGCAGAGAACGCAAAGGCACGAAAAAAATTTAGCTCAGAAATTAAAACCAAACAGGAAACAAAAAAAGCTGACAATACTCGAATGGATTAATCAGTAGGCTTACAAACACCTCTCAACCAAGAAGAAAAGCTTTTATAAAAGTTCACGAACCAAATTAGCAAAAACTGCCTTTTAAAAGACGTGATCGATCCTTCTCAGATTGATACTTGGAAGGATGCCCAATAAAAAAACTTATTCATATTGCAAAAATGTGCAGGTCGCAGCAAGTCAACGAGACAGTAGAAGGTTCGATTCTTGTCTTGAAAATTAATATATATCATATCCGTTCAGTAGGGCTCTTTCTGATCAGTACATTGTTTTACTTATCAGCGAGTTCTTCAGGCGATCACATAGTCAGCAGGATTCTAAGTAGAAGACAATCGCTCGAAATTGGAGATACAAGTATTGTGTGTATCATCAAAATCAGATCCGCCTTGGCAGGTTAAGATCTGGTTGGAACAACCTTTGACGACAATAAACGTTGAAGAAAACTTCCCCACCGAGTTGCGATCAGCGGTCCAAGCAAAGTGCCGAAAGACTCACCGCCGAGACCAGAGATCTCAAGGAACGGTGAGGACGCTACGGAAAAACAGGCAAGGCTACTGAGAGACAACGTAGAGAGATATGAAAAAAAGCTAAAGGCTGAAAAACGGACACAGCTTCTACTACAACGAGGTGCAGAAAACATTAGGGCGTTGACAATTTTCGACAAACTCAGATGTGGAGGTGTCGAAAGGAAATTTAAAGATATTGTGATAATGATCAAGTGCTTCTTTCAAAAAAAGTAAAAACGTGACTCACGAAAGGTAAAAACAATTCACGCGTTATGAAGATAAAAGTGAGACTCTGAAAGCATTTTACGCAGCATTAAATGAAGAACCAGCCAGGTACGAACTGGTAAACCAACCTTGGAAGATAAATTAGGTTGAGATTTTTTGTATCAAGAATGCAGAGCTCGACATTTCAAGAAAGACACACTTGCTTTGAAAACACTCACACCGAAAAAGGTATTGAAATTGCTTTGGAAACACTCACACCGGAAGAAGTATTGAAAAGGGCCATAAAGTTTGTACATAAATCCCGAAACGACACTTGTATTTTCGAAAAAAAAACGCAGCTGAAACTGCAGAGGCACGAAAAAAATCTAGCTCAGGAATTAAAACCAAACAGGAACTAAAAGTGACAGACACTACTTGAATGGAGAAACCAGTAGGCGTGCAAACAGCTCCAAAATGAGAAATATGCCATATAGAAAAGTGCAATATAATGGACGTGGTCGTTCCTTCTCAGATTGACTCATGAAATTTTGCCCAGCAAAAACGGCAAAAATTTATTCGTGCTGCAAAAATTAGCCGCTCGCAGCAAGTCAACGAGACAGTAGAAGGTTTGATTCTGGTCTTGAAAATGAGTATATAACCGTTCAGCAGGGCCTTTTTCTGATCAGTAAAATTGTTTTACACATCTGCGAGTTCTT